CTCGAACGAACAAGTTCGCATAAAAATTCCCGAAATAAATATTTGCATAGTATCAGGAATTGTAAAAGAAAAGAAATCAGAAACCGATCATTATGACTGGTTTGGTAGTCTAGTGTTAAAAAATGATACAAATGAAATTGTCGAAGAAATAATTTCACTGCTCGCTTTTATTTAGTTTGGAAGCTACAATATATTATTCAGCCCCCTGTCGATATCACTGTAATGTTTACATTGTAAATTCGCGAAGAAAGTCCTTCAGAAGCGAATGCACGGCTAATGAAGGCGACAATATGTGTATCCATTTCCATATGCATGTCGGTACAAAGTTGAGCGATAAAAAATATAATAATAGGAAAACTTGGGAACACTCGATTTTGTCGCTCGTAAAAATAGTTTTTTATGTACTTCCAGGCGTCACAAGCAAACATCTGGTATACCAGTAGTTCGGATTAGATATTTAAAGTATCGTTCAATGAATTCCTCAGATATTTCTGCACCGGGTATGTAGAATTATCTTCGTGTTTGTTTCGGTCTAGTACAGTAAATTCTCCCTAATTGATACCCAGCTTGGAAACAAAAATGGACAATTTGGGAAGAGAAAGTACGATTAATCGAGCCTTGCGGCTTCTTTCTTATAGCTATCTCGACAATCGGTGACTATAAAAATAATAATAATCGTATCTCCTCTTCCCAAATTGTCCACTTTTGTTTCCAAGCTGTGCGTCAATTAGAGAGAATTTACTGTATTTCGTCTCTTATTTAACACTAGATCTACGGAGCACAAAAAACAGCTGTTTTATAGTAGTTTATAAAAGTAACAATAAGACATTTATTCTGGTTTTTAACAAGTGTTATCGTAACATTTGTCGCAAGTAACATATAAATTGAATAAAATAACTCATAAATAGTATCTTTACGATATGAATAATTGTAAATTAAAAAATCAGTGACCGTAAATCTAGTGTCAAAGGTGCCTGTTCCTGTTAATTTGGCCATGAACGTGGCTGACGCGAGCATGAAGCAATAGAAATTTCACTATTGTCACGCGTCACACGACCTTCTTTTCAGACTGTTATTACAAATCAGGTCAAATCGCTCATTATGAAAAGGTCGCGGCAGACGTTTCGACGTCTGCGAAATTTTGTAATTTATATCGGCGTTGTGCTCGGTTTTCCCAGACGCCGACACTTTGACCAGTATTCCGGAAGGCTGCCGGTGTTGGTGTCGATGTCAGCTCCAGTTTTTTTTACCGCCATTGAAACTTTCCGCTTTCCCGACAGTTTTCGGCGTTTTCACCGGCGTTTTCTTTTTATTTGCTTTCACGCTTTGAACTTGTGACCTGGTCCGTTCTCCGCGCTAATAGGACCACCTTTCNCTCGAACGAACAAGTTCGCATAAAAATTCCCGAAATAAATATTTGCATAGTATCAGGAATTGTAAAAGAAAAGAAATCAGAAACCGATCATTATGACTGGTTTGGTAGTCTAGTGTTAAAAAATGATACAAATGAAATTGTCGAAGAAATAATTTCACTGCTCGCTTTTATTTAGTTTGGAAGCTACAATATATTATTCAGCCCCCTGTCGATATCACTGTAATGTTTACATTGTAAATTCGCGAAGAAAGTCCTTCAGAAGCGAATGCACGGCTAATGAAGGCGACAATATGTGTATCCATTTCCATATGCATGTCGGTACAAAGTTGAGCGATAAAAAATATAATAATAGGAAAACTTGGGAACACTCGATTTTGTCGCTCGTAAAAATAGTTTTTTATGTACTTCCAGGCGTCACAAGCAAACATCTGGTATACCAGTAGTTCGGATTAGATATTTAAAGTATCGTTCAATGAATTCCTCAGATATTTCTGCACCGGGTATGTAGAATTATCTTCGTGTTTGTTTCGGTCTAGTACAGTAAATTCTCCCTAATTGATACCCAGCTTGGAAACAAAAATGGACAATTTGGGAAGAGAAAGTACGATTAATCGAGCCTTGCGGCTTCTTTCTTATAGCTATCTCGACAATCGGTGACTATAAAAATAATAATAATCGTATCTCCTCTTCCCAAATTGTCCACTTTTGTTTCCAAGCTGTGCGTCAATTAGAGAGAATTTACTGTATTTCGTCTCTTATTTAACACTAGATCTACGGAGCACAAAAAACAGCTGTTTTATAGTAGTTTATAAAAGTAACAATAAGACATTTATTCTGGTTTTTAACAAGTGTTATCGTAACATTTGTCGCAAGTAACATATAAATTGAATAAAATAACTCATAAATAGTATCTTTACGATATGAATAATTGTAAATTAAAAAATCAGTGACCGTAAATCTAGTGTCAAAGGTGCCTGTTCCTGTTAATTTGGCCATGAACGTGGCTGACGCGAGCATGAAGCAATAGAAATTTCACTATTGTCACGCGTCACACGACCTTCTTTTCAGACTGTTATTACAAATCAGGTCAAATCGCTCATTATGAAAAGGTCGCGGCAGACGTTTCGACGTCTGCGAAATTTTGTAATTTATATCGGCGTTGTGCTCGGTTTTCCCAGACGCCGACACTTTGACCAGTATTCCGGAAGGCTGCCGGTGTTGGTGTCGATGTCAGCTCCAGTTTTTTTTACCGCCATTGAAACTTTCCGCTTTCCCGACAGTTTTCGGCGTTTTCACCGGCGTTTTCTTTTTATTTGCTTTCACGCTTTGAACTTGTGACCTGGTCCGTTCTCCGCGCTAATAGGACCACCTTTCTTAGCCAGATTCAGTTTCAAGACAATTTTTAGGAGGGTATCATATCATTTTATCGCGCGAATCATTTCGTAAAAACGTTTCTCCGCATATTGTTTCGTTGAAGTTGTAATTCCATCTAAAGGCGAACTGCAGTTACGAAAGAATTTTTAAAAAGCTGTTCTACCATTTTACCATATCAATTTTATGCAAATGGTTTGCTACATTTGATACTGTTTTAATTGTAATGCTATCAAAGGCGATCTACTAGTCAAGTCTAGTTAGATGAACAGTGGCTATAATTTGTTCTTAACCCTTTGGCTATGACAATAGTAATAATTAGATAGCGGATCTTGTGCATTTATAATAAAAATGAGTAGATGATAATACAAACATACAAATACGTTAAAATAATTTAATATTTTTGATATATTAATATTATTCAACAAAGATATATTATTTAATAAAAAATATTATTAAATAAGGAAACATATTTTTATCTAACTCCTGTGTCTCGCAACTAACATAGAAATATTTTATTTTGCATAAAGATAATATTAACACATTTGTTTGAACAATTCTTCAGCGTTCCCTTTCGTTGTATTTACCGCTTTAAAATTGCCGCAATTTCATCAGAAGCTCCTACGAAATTCCAGGTAAACTAAATAAATTCTAATTGCATCGTTACTGCCGAAAGAATTATAAATAAATTTTGTCGGAACGCCTATTCGCCGCATTTTTAATTAAATAACCACCGCGTCTCGGAGACTTTACACTCGGTTTAATTAATTGTAACAACCATACGAGGCACTAAAGGTTTCTTTAATTAAAGGAGCGAAATGAATTTCTTTTTCTAAATAAGAAGAAATTGCGAAAGAAAGAGGGAGAGAGAGAGAGAGAGAGAGCTCCGTGATTTCGGTGTTTACTCGTATTCCGGTAAATTAGGACGTTCGATGAATTTGTAATTACAAATTCGTTTGTGAATCAGTTCAAGCCGTATTGCTCCGATAAAATTTATCGGCCACGTAATCCGAGAAAATTACGTTGCTGCACATATATTCACGCCGTACAAGTAATCATAACGAGAAGATCATGGTTGCGAAAGATACGCGACCCGAGGAGAAAGCCTTCGTCAGGTGTTTACATTGCGGACCGTGAAAGTTTCACGATTTGAAGACATGCTCTGTAACAGCGGAGTCTCGCCTCTGTTCTATAACTATTGCCAAATCTAATTACAGCAATCCGAAACCGGTGGCGATAATACATCTAGTCGGTTAATAAGTAAACGCGTTCGCTTCGTGTTTTACATTTCTATGAGAAAGTAGTTTCATTTCGCGATAGAACGAATAGGATAAAATAATGGCATCGAATGAAATTAGAGTAGAAAGGCGGGAGAAATTGTCGGAGCAAAAAGTTAACAGTACAATCTTTGAAACTATTCAATCTATTGTCGGCGGAAAGCAGCTGCGGAAAAGAATCATTTATCGATTTTTCTTTTCATATTTCCCGCTTAAACGTGACAGAACGAAAATCGAAATTGACTGAACGGTCCGAAGGGGAGGCGATAAAATACGATCGCGACACTTTTCTGCATTATTGTCGCGGGATCGTCCGTATTTCCCGTACCAGCGAAATGAAATGTAACACGGGCTGACAGATTCTGAAACGTCGCGCACGTGGCGACAGGTAGCAGTCATGGGAATGACATACGTGGTCGCGGTTTGGAACATGTCGAATCACTGACACGGTGAATCGAGTCGATGAAATTGGGGGCGGAATGATTTCACGGCGGTATTATCGTCCGCCGTTAATTCGGCAGTCCGCATTAATTAGAATTCCATGGTCGCTGAGAATTTCCTGTTTTCCGTAATTTCGCTCATTTTCCTCTTCGATGCTCCCTTCGCTGTTTTTATCGACGCTGATAAATAGACACCAATAAAATGGAATTTTTGCATCGATGTTGGTATTCTATCGCTTTTACGCATTTTTCCCGTAAATACATAAAATCCGCAGTCTACTAACAACATCACGAATTAGAAGTACAGCGCAGCATAGAAAGCATTGCAAAGTCCTCGACGTGTAATCTCACGACATGGTTCGCCTAATCAAGTTCGCAGCTACGAACCACACTATTTTCATTATTGCTATCTCGTATTGAATTGCGGTGTTATTTCATCGAACGTGTCGTGTCCCGATTAAAGGACGATTATTCTCTTCTTATTCTTCGGAGCGACTGTTGGGAAATGATTTTTTCGGTGTATTATGTTTCTTGCGGTTTATTCGTTTACTAAACCATTTGCCTAGCGTACAAAAGTATACAATTAAATTGGAAGTTCATTAGAAATACGTAACAATCGCGATCGCCCTAAGCGTGCCGCTCAACAATCATCTTTCCTCCACCCGCGCGCGTGTCTCAGTCTATTTGTTCTTGTGAAGACCGTACGAGTTCCACTCTGAAAAATAGAGAAGTTTATTATTAACACTATCCGCGATCGATCGATATCGTAAACGTAGTGTCGCGTTAAGTGAACACAAAGTACAGCAAATTCTCCGTAATTGACGCTCAGCTTGGAAACAAAACTGGACAATTTGGGAAGAGGAGGTACGATTGTTCGAGCCTTCTGTCTCGTTTTCATAGTTGCCGTTTGTCAGCAAAATTCGATATAAGCCGCAATAATCGTATCTCCGCTTGTCGAATTATCCATTTTTGTGCACAATCTGAGCGTCGGTTAGGGAGAATTTACCGTACTTCGAAGACCGAAGAACAGCTTCGGATGGATAAGTTAATATTTCGCGTTAAATCGTCGACACGAGTTTCAAAGTTCAGATGCTGAGAATTGGGGAAACTTCGTTACCTTTAATTCTGTCCTCGCATTTAATCAAAGTCGGGTACCAATCGGCGCTGGTATAATCGATTTCCGGTAGATCGCCGCCATAGTTCTTCGGCAGGTGAGTTTTCGGGATGTGCTCGTGCAGGGACGCCATTTTGTTGCCGTGGAAGAACATGCGTTTCTTCAGCTTCTCCCTGACGAAGGGCTTGAACATCTGCCAGACCATGTTGAACAGGAACGGTTGCTTCACGAAGTGAACCTGCAAGGAATAATCGAGTCAGCATTGACAAGTGTTGCCTTATCAGAATTACAAGATCGAATGTACAGTAAATTCTCCCTAATTTTTACGTTTAGCTTGAAGACAAAAATGGACAATTTAGGAAGAAGAGGTTATTCGATTATATTCCGATTATTTATTATCAATAATCGGTACGATTGTTTTAACCTTGCGGCTCGTTTTTATACTTGTTGACAATCGGTGACTATAAAAACGAGCCGCAAGGCTCGATTAATCGTATCTCCTCTTCATAAATTGTCCATTTTTGTGTGTAAGCTGAGCGTCGATTAGGACCGTATTTAAATTTCTCACAATTTTTATAGTAGTAATAGTATAGTAAATGTAGTATATATTTATAGTATAATATATAGTATATATACGTACTATATATTAATATATTATATACTTATACTTGTTGAAATATATATGCGTATACTTATAATAGTTGAATACGTTTCTTTATTTTCATACATATACATATTCATATATATATATAATATATATAATATATAATATAATATATTATATTATATATATAATATACATATAACGTATTCAAAAATTTCAAATGAAAGCAGCTTTGTGTCTTCGATAATTATAAAATAAGATAAGTAATAATAATAATAAGTATAAATATAAGTTTATAAGTTTTTTTATATATAAGTTTATATAAATAGAAAGAACTATGAAATCAGTCATTTGACCGACATTGATAGTTAATCGATTTTATAATCCTATGGCTGCGAGGAAGAACGCCGCTGGTCACGTGTTCTAACTTCCGCGATGTTGTCGCTCAAAGTTCTGATCATCGATGCTTCGTATTAGCAGTGTTTCAAATTGCATAATTTTGTTCAATCTATAGTATTTGTTTTCACGATGTCTTTTTTCCAATAAATGCGTAAATCCTATATGCTACGTTTCACTGAATGCATCGAGAAAATTTTTTGGAAATCGTTATTTGCGAAGTTTCTCCTAATAGCGGTAGAATTTATCAGGGCTTGTAGCGACGCATAAAAGCTCGATAGATTTTCTATCACTCCTGTCAGTGATATTTGACGAAGGAGAAACGATAGGAAAGAACGAACTGCAGCTATGGCGTTCCCGCGCAATAAAAAATGCCCACGAACCTCTTTGAGTCGCAGCGGTATGGCGTCCTGGATGAAAGTCAGCAGCTTCATACTGTAAGATGGCGTCAGCCCCATCACCTGCTTCATCGTCAGACCGTCGAAGTCCATTATTACCACGGTTCCATAAATCTGCGGGCGGAAAAAAACGCGTCTTGAGTAACTCGAACGAGAACAAAGCACGCGAGGCCAATATTACTCCTGTCTAATAAGATTACGTAAACTCTGGTCATTCGTAAGAATGTATGCAATAGAAACAGCATGACATGATGTTGTTGTTAACTATACATGAAAGTGGAATAATTTTCGCGGGGCACGAACTTTTAATGATGAACACTTCGCATTGCTTTCCATAGCGATCAACGGCCCTTGAACTTTGCACCCTAAAATGTCTTTGCGTGTCTTTCGAAACACTGCGCACAAGTGCGATCTTGAACATTTATTTCGAGCACTATGTATTTTTAGAAGCCGGATACATTTTCATATTATACCGGAAAGCCGAATCTTAAATGTCGGATACTGTTTCTTTTTTTTTTAATCCTTCATTCGAATTTTCAATTAAATATCTCGGGCTAACAAGACGTTGACTTTGACACTAGAACTGCCAAGCCAGTCGAAACGATTGCTTTCTGATATTATAAAAATGTTTCTAGGAGAAATATTTAGGCACACACACACTTCTTTATCGAAGTGTATATTATAATGTAAATTATGCGAAGTTTAAATAAATCCGGTCTCAGCATTGTTATAAAACATTAGTCGAGTTTCGGTCTCGGTAGTTCTAGCGTTAAATAATCAGTCGTGCGATGTTGAAATATATACGGTAACCTACAAAAGTGCTCGTACACTTTTTAAAACGCAATAATTTTTTCAAAGCTGAACCAAATGACTTGAATTTTTTTGAGATGATAGAAGGACCAGTCTACTAGACGATGACTAAAAAGCTTTTCTCCAATTTTGCTATTACTTGAAATGAAAAGAAAAAATTGAAAACCCTCATTCTTTAACTTTTTTATCTGAGCCTATAACGATTCGAGTTTTGCGATCTTTAATTTGTTGTAACTCGTAACAATGTGAACCGATTTCGATAAAATGTTCAATATGCACACAAGATTCCGAAATCTACGAAAGACATTTTTTAGGCTCGGATGAAAAAGTTAAAGAACGAAAAATGTTTATTTTTTCGTCATTCCAAGTATTAGCAAAATTTAAAAAAAATAAACCATTTAATAAACCATAAAAATAATTCGAGTCATTTAGTTCAGTTTGAAAATAATTGTTGCGTTTTAGAAGGTGTACGAACACTTTTGCGGGCCACTGTAGTTGAAGGTATCACGATAAATTTATCTAGAATTTTTTCGTTGATCGAATCGCGCGAACGATCCGCCGAGAAGCGTCGTAGATCGTGTTACAGCATTATTACCTGCGTCTCCGGTTCCAACATGGCGACGTCGTGGATCAAGTAGAACAGTCTGAGTATCTGATCTGCGGTGACCTTGGAAGGGTCCCAGGTCTTTCCAGAATTGACCGCCATCACTCTTCTGCCCTTGTGATCCCTGCCCTTCAAGACATTGACAACGTTGTGCTCGAGGAAAGCCGTTCTNTTTGCGTGTCTTTCGAAACACTGCGCACAAGTGCGATCTTGAACATTTATTTCGAGCACTATGTATTTTTAGAAGCCGGATACATTTTCATATTATACCGGAAAGCCGAATCTTAAATGTCGGATACTGTTTCTTTTTTTTTTAATCCTTCATTCGAATTTTCAATTAAATATCTCGGGCTAACAAGACGTTGACTTTGACACTAGAACTGCCAAGCCAGTCGAAACGATTGCTTTCTGATATTATAAAAATGTTTCTAGGAGAAATATTTAGGCACACACACACTTCTTTATCGAAGTGTATATTATAATGTAAATTATGCGAAGTTTAAATAAATCCGGTCTCAGCATTGTTATAAAACATTAGTCGAGTTTCGGTCTCGGTAGTTCTAGCGTTAAATAATCAGTCGTGCGATGTTGAAATATATACGGTAACCTACAAAAGTGCTCGTACACTTTTTAAAACGCAATAATTTTTTCAAAGCTGAACCAAATGACTTGAATTTTTTTGAGATGATAGAAGGACCAGTCTACTAGACGATGACTAAAAAGCTTTTCTCCAATTTTGCTATTACTTGAAATGAAAAGAAAAAATTGAAAACCCTCATTCTTTAACTTTTTTATCTGAGCCTATAACGATTCGAGTTTTGCGATCTTTAATTTGTTGTAACTCGTAACAATGTGAACCGATTTCGATAAAATGTTCAATATGCACACAAGATTCCGAAATCTACGAAAGACATTTTTTAGGCTCGGATGAAAAAGTTAAAGAACGAAAAATGTTTATTTTTTCGTCATTCCAAGTATTAGCAAAATTTAAAAAAAATAAACCATTTAATAAACCATAAAAATAATTCGAGTCATTTAGTTCAGTTTGAAAATAATTGTTGCGTTTTAGAAGGTGTACGAACACTTTTGCGGGCCACTGTAGTTGAAGGTATCACGATAAATTTATCTAGAATTTTTTCGTTGATCGAATCGCGCGAACGATCCGCCGAGAAGCGTCGTAGATCGTGTTACAGCATTATTACCTGCGTCTCCGGTTCCAACATGGCGACGTCGTGGATCAAGTAGAACAGTCTGAGTATCTGATCTGCGGTGACCTTGGAAGGGTCCCAGGTCTTTCCAGAATTGACCGCCATCACTCTTCTGCCCTTGTGATCCCTGCCCTTCAAGACATTGACAACGTTGTGCTCGAGGAAAGCCGTTCTCTCGTCGGACGGCATCAAGTTATCGAAGAGGCTTGCATTTTTGTCCTTGAACTCGGCCACCCGCCTCATTAATTCGAACGCACTGACCGGATAGAATTTGCATGGTCGTAGGAATATCATTAGAAAATCATCGTCCGTGCTGTAATAGATCGTGGAGTCCTCTGAAAAAGCACAATACCATCAGGACGATTGAAAACCGAGTGGACATTTATTGCAAATCTGGCCACCGCGAAGGTGGCGCAGATAGGTTTCCTCGCCAGATCTGGCATACACAAGAAATTTAGTACCCACCCCCCGACGGAACACCTACGAGGGGTTCGAACGTGGGTAAACCAACGCCTTCTCTTATCGGTCATTAGGCCGGGTACGGAAGACCCAGTCTTAACTCCGCGTCCGTGTAAGGAGTTTTGTGGTTTGCTTTGCCCCCAAAGTGCCACACGACAGCAATTGTACAGCGTGTCAGGCTAGGGGGCAATAAACCGAGTAGACAACCGCACGAACTTGATTCCGAGTTTCGTTAATTGATTTAAAAAAATGTTCAATTCTCAATTTCTGAAGATGCTCCTAAAGGTTCGCCGACCTCGAAACCCATATTCGATCACAAATTGATCGATTCCCGCAAACGACATCGAGTTTATCTCGTCGCATTAAGTACAATTACTAAATTATTAACTTCTTATCGGGTAATCAGCTTATATTTTTCGCCCGATAGTAATCAATAAAGATACCGATCGTTTAATGGACACATTGATTTCCCATTCGATTCGGAAAGATTGCAAAAAAAAGAAACAATGAAATCTCGATTAATCCGTAACACAATGGACGTCGATCGGCCGGTGAGACATGATCGAATCTTCCGCGTTTTTTCCAGCTGGGAAGGTTATTTCCTATCTAATCGACGTCGCATCCGAGGCGTAATTAAGGATGATCGTTATCAACGCCGAAACGAACGATTTTCATTTCACGATCCGCGACAGCGATGGCGGACGGAACCGTCCTCGCGTGCGACCGAAGGAGGCCTCTCCCGTAGGAAATTGCCTCCGCGGACCTCGTTAGGGAAATTGCAATGATCCCCGTTCGCCCGGAGAACTCCGAGCAATCGGTGGCTCTCGTGTCGACGGGATTCGAGCGTGGGACACGGAAAACTCGATGGGAAAACCGAAAAGACGGAGGAAGTTCGCCTCGTTCCCGAGCTGCGCGGCCATTTGCCCAAAAACTGTGGGAACAACTCGGAAAGAGAAGTTTCTGGGGAATGAAGCTAAAGGTCGCTGGTGGACCGTAGATTCGAATGAAAAATATTCGTTGCAAGATTCAGCAAAGAAGACTTTGTTAAACATTTTTTTATAGAAAATTGAAATCTTTTGTTATATAAAGTTATATACCAAGCTGATGCAATGTCGCTGCAAAGTCGGCGCAATGATAATTGTATCCGTTGAATTGTAGTAATACGTAAAAAGATGTAATATTATTCGGTAAATAGATACAGTGATAATGTATCAGCGCGTCCGATTGATGATTTTCTAGAAATTGGAATTTAGATGAATAAGTTATTTATTTGAAATCTCATTGGATATCTTTATCTGTGTGTTCGTGGTTTCTATAAATATTATATTATCATAAATATAAATATTTTTATCAACAGTAATGCACAGTGACCGAAAAATTATTGAATTAATCGATTAATGATAAATATGTTGTTCGGGGCAAACTGAGTCGCATAACCTAAAACTTCGACGTTTCTTAACCAAAATTTTGTTAACCTCGACGAATATAATGAAATATAACTGCTTGAAAGAGTTTCAAAACGTTGTTCTTATCTACAACTGATGTGATATCAGAAACTGACGAACGTGTGAGACAGTTCTTAAACATTTCGCCGAACTCTTCTAGGCTAACTTCACCCGAAATTCTACCCTAAATCAAATTGCACTGTAGTTGAAAAATCGGCTGTAATGGGAAAGTCAGCTGCGACTGAAAAGTCAGCTGTAGTTAAAAAGTCAGCTGTAATTGAAAAGTCAGCTGTAGTTGAAAACGATACAGTTGGAGACAGCGATGATAATGCGAGCACGGAGCATCTCTTTCATATTCGCGCATGCTAAATTACGTAAGCATTTAATAAGTACAGTGTATCGTTCAGCGATAACGTCTTCGACAGCGACGTGGTCAAATAAATTATTGGAGACAGTACAGTGGCAATCAAAATGTTTATTCGTTCCTGCGCTTTTACGATTATCCAACGATTTCAGTCCTGTATTTTTATTTGTATTCAATTTTCTGTGCACTATAACTAAAATAACCCAAAGCATTTGAGATACTTTCGTATTATTAAAGAGATTCTAACATATTATTTTGATAGAGAATTCACCATTAATTATGTTCAACTATCTTCTCATTACAGTAATTTCTCCCTAATTCGCGCTGAGATTGCGCACAAAAATGGACAATTTAGGAGAAGGAGATGCGATTATTGGAGCCTTGCGACTCGTGATTATAGTTGTTGACTGTTGAAATATTAGCCTCGAACAAAAATTAATCTATAGTTTACTTAGTAAGATATCTTCAGTTAAGATATCGGTTTACATTTCGCCGGCTCCGTCAGCGGGCAGCGACGGTGACGGAATCTGTATATATTAGATGCCGCGATACATCATCGCCGGTACCTTTTGATGTACATCGTGCCCTGACCGTCACGTATACAATGTAAGACGCGACAAATAAAACGTCTCTGATTGGTGGACACGACGAACCCAAAAAGAGTATAAAAGAAGCGTTTCTTCTTACCGGATACCTGAGTAGAGTTTGATCGCTCGATCGGTTTCGCTCATATACCTTCTCTCAATTAAGAGAATAAAATAAAGTCCTTTTAAGCAAAGTATTAGAATCATATTCATTTTCATTCCATAATCCCAACATTGACAATCGGTAACTATAAAAATGAGCCACAAGGCTCGAATAATCGTATCATCTTTTCCTAAATTGTCCATTTTTGTGCGTAATTTTGAGCGCGAGTTAGGGGTATTAGGAATATTGGAATAGGGAATTAGAGGAACACTGTACTCAAAATGTACCAAGAATCCTCATCCATAGTTATTCACTCGAAAATCACACTCTCTGCGGTAAAGAACACTAAACTTTTCAGCTGTACTATACTTTCGAGATAAAACAGCGACCGTATCGCGCTGCAAGGTGATTGCCAGGATCCAGGCGTTCCCTCCGATTCTTCGAATACATCGGAAAACAACGCGTACATTCTACTCATCTTCTTCACTTGAATTTTAAATTTCAGTTGCTCGATTAAAAGATTCTAATCCACTGGATCGAGATCCAGCAAAAGTTCCCGGTTGCATTGCGTCGATTCACGCGAACCGGAAGCGCCGAGGAACCAGCCGAAACTGTCCTAGAAAACGGAACCCGAAAGTTACAATGGCGCAGCATCGTTGTTTCTAGTTCGCCGATCGGAGTACAGGCGCTATCAACCGTGATTTCCGACGGCTATCAGAAGCGGACGCGGTTCTGCGCCAATGGAATAAGAATGTTATCTCGAGTGTACTGATTTCTCCCGGTTCTCTCGACGTCGCAGTCGAGGGTCAAGGTACGTCGACGTCGCTTATCACGACGGATTTCGGATCGATCGACGTTATCGGGGATCGCCGGGAATATCGGGGATTCTCGATCGCCGACACGTAGTTACAGGTTGTTTACGCCGCTGCGATCTCGAAAAGTTCGCCTCTTTACACCTCGAGATACGGGGCTTTGAGAAGCCGATCGTTGCGACGCTGTCTACAGCGACGGACTAAAGTATTCCGACACCTTCTCGAACGCGATAATTTCTTTAACACTGCACTAAATAATTCACATTGTTTTTTTTAATGGACGTTAGGGGGACCAATTTACTGTAAAATGACTAAAATAGTTTTGTTTTCATTTTGCTATCACTTGGAATGCAGGAGGAATTCCATTAAAAATTGTTCATCTGAGTCTGTTTTATTATCAATTTTAAAAATCATCATTTTATAGTTTTATCATCAATTTTAAGAGACGATTTTTAAAAATGCGTTTTGTAGATTTCGGTAAATTATACGCATGCTGAAAATTAATTTTTCTATTACTTGAAATGGCGAAAGGGATACTGTTAAATTACTTTTTATCTGGGCCTATGATGAAAATTTGAAAAATACGTTTCGTAGATCTCGGTAAATTGTATGCTAGAAGGCGTTGAAAGATGACGGAATTTCTGACAGTTAGCGGTCGAAAGTGCGAACGATCGGTGACGAAATTATAAATATTAAAAATTATAAATAATTTATTATAAAATATTATAATATAAATATATATATATATATATATTATTATATATATTATTATATAAATAAATAAATTATTATAAAATAAAATTATAAATAATTTTTAATTTATAATTAAAAATTACAAATCATAAATATTTTTCGCTGTTGCCTCTAAATGAAATTGCGAGGCTGGGAGTATAGGATTGAAGATCATGAAATTTCATCGAACATTTCGATCGCGATGGCTCGGAAATTCAATTGATAATTGATTAAAAATATAATTATATAATTGATTTTTGTTGATCATCGGGTTAAGAAGAAGTATTATTCCATCGAGGGAACTGATCGAATGCGGGCCGGAGGGTGGGCGGGGGGAAGATAGAGAGGGCGAAGATTCCACTGACCGCGATAACGCTTATCAAAGAACATGACCCCGGGTCTAGCCGACGATGCACTTAGATCGTGTTAATACTCCGAGAATATTTTCGGATTTTATTAAACTAGCGCACCGAACTGGAATTATCTTCAGAGAGTGATTTTTCTCGAGACGTACGTGTCAATTCCCGAGGAACGTCATCGATGATTTTAGCTGATTCGTTCGCCTGGCTCGCGTTTCCGAAGCCTGCCCGAGGATCGTGTGCCCATTGGAAACGCGACAGGATCATTAATCACTCGGGTTTCCTCTGATTGTCTTTCAAATTAGCTGAGAGGCGAAACGTGCTCACCGCCTGTCAAAGCTATTTTTGCCGATGTGTATTTTGCGGTATCAAAACGAACGCGTGGATTCAATCGTGGAATAATTGTCTATCGGAGAGTAGCCATTAGGTTCGGTAATTGCGAGGTTAAATTCTCGACGAGGAAAGTTTCGACTGAGAGTTCGCCTTGTTCGGAAAGCAAGCGGCAACAATGAATCACAAGTGACATTGGATTATTATCGCAGCTGGTTCAAAGCTCATTTGCTGTCTCTCTTTAATATCGAATCACTGCGGATGCATACAGATTTCGCAGTACGGTAATTTCTTTCACATTGTCTCTCAGTTTGGAAATAATAACGGACGACTTGGGAAAAGGAGATACGATTACTCGAGGCTCGTTTTTATAGTTGTTGATAATCGGTAATTATTAGCTTGTGTAATGAGTCCGTTCGCGTTTTTCTTTCTCCGTGCAGTCGTCGACACGAACGCACTTATTATACAATTTCAGCCTAATCTACCCTGTCTTAAAGTAGACGCTTTCAGCTTTCATATAAGCTAAGTTGCATAGATGCAACTTAGGAATGTATCTTAAAATCCATCTGAAATTTTCCTTTCGACCCTTGTAAACCCCCCGATGTCCAAAGTCGATTATATTTAATTTTTCATAATAATCTCGTCATTCTATCGAAATCTAATCTACCATGTCTTAAAATAGACACTTCCAGCTTTCATATAAGCTAAGTTGCATAGAAATAGCACTTCGGAAACATATCTTAAAATCCATCTGAACTTTTCATTTTTACTCTTCCAAACCCCACGATGTTCAAAGTCGATTGCATTTAATTTTTCAAAATGATTTCGTCATTCTATCGAAGTCTAATCTACCATGTCTTAAAATAGACACTTCCAGCTTTCATATAAGCTAAGCTGCATAGAAATAGCACTTCGGGAATGTATCTTAAAATCCATCTGAAATTTTCCTTTTAACCCTTGTAAATCCCCGATGTCCAAAGTCGATTGCATTTAATTTTTTAAAATGATCTCGTCATTCTATCGCAATCTAATCTACCATGTCTTAAAATAGACACTTCCAGCTTTCATATAAGCTAAGCTGCATAGAAATAGCACTTCGGGAATGTATCTTAAAATCCATCTGAAATCTTTCCTTTTAACCCTTGTAAATCCCCGATGTCCAAAGTCGATTGCATTTAATTTTTTAAAATGATCTCGTCATTCTATCGCAATCTAATCTACCATGTCTTAAAATAGACACTTCCAGCTTTCATATAAGCTAAGTTGCATAGAAATAGCACTTCGGGAATGTATCTTAAAATCCATCTGAAATCTTTCCTTTTAACCCTTGTAAATCCCCGATGTCCAAAGTCGATTGCATTTAATTTTTTAAAATGATCTCGTCATTCTATCACAATCTAATCTACCATGTCTTAAAATAGACACTTCCAGCTTTCATATAAGCTAAGTTGCATAGAAATAGCTCCACGAGAACATGCCCCAAAATTCGTGTGAACTATCGCTTTGAATTCGTTTAATTTTCCTTGTCTTTACCTAGGTGTCAGAGGTCCGCGAACGGACTTGACACACATTTTAACATAACAACGAGCCACGAGGCCCGAATAATCGTATTTCCTCTTCCCAAATTGTCCATTTTCGTTCCCAAGCCGAGGGGCAATGCGGTATAAATAACTGTACTCCCACCGTGTGTCCACGAGCGTCGATTATAACGATTGAATTTAAAATCACGAGAATCGTGAATCAGAGAACGTACATTGTCGCACTATCGAAGCTCGCTTTTATCAATTCCACAACAGATACGACTACGGCGAGCGGATGGAACTCGACGGTCTATCGTTCAACAAAGAAAAACCGTGCCGGTTAAAAATTCGGGCCAGAAGATTCGCAGGATCGCTCGGCTTTCGCGACGACCAGCCGTAAATCGGCCGGATTGTTTCGACGACCGCTCAGCATCCTCGGAGCAGCCGGAACACGCTGGACCGTCGCGAATCGGCTCGCCAAACCGGCGACTAAAGAACATGTAAATTTCAAGCGTCACGTTTCCGCGCGAAATTGCGCGGACGCGTCTGCGGCACGCGCGGAAATCATTTCGCGATTCGTCACGCGCAACTCTGTTCGTCCGCCGAGAAGATAAACTATCGAAAGCGGCACCGCGCCGGCGAGGCACGAGGAAAAACGCGAGCCGGAGAGTTTCGCGCGCGCCGAATTTCCTCCGGCCGGGTGCCGCATATTAATCGGTCCACGCAAGCCGATCGGGAGACACTCGGCCGGCCACGCAGGTGCGACGGCTGACGTCAAAATCCAATTGTTCGCATGTTTGCCGGCGATAAAGCTCGTGGCGGATTAAGAGTTCCATAAATTTATCGATAGTTATTACTCGGATCTTTATGGGAAATAAAATTTGTACAATCACGAAAGTAAAATTTATACAAAAATTTATGCTATTTTAACAATCATAGTGAGTGGAAAACATTGTAACGATGTTGCTATATTTTTCTAATATTTATTTATTTATTTATCGAATATATACGGAAAGTTAACCATTAGTTATAAAATTACGAACGAAAAATCTGCCGAGATTAGGTATAATAAGATAACCGTAATTCCTTAAATTGATATGATAATTCTTTACGGACTATAATAACGTTCTGATATTGATTTTTGTCGTAAATGCATCGAATCCGCGGTCCAGTTATTACGAAACGAGAAAAATCCGAACCGGCAGAACGTGGTTCTTGCGGGAACGCAAAATGAACCAAGAAGATTACGTGAAAACTCAAATGCGATTTTATCGATTACACGTATTATTATTCTGCAAAATGAAATAATAGTACATTGACTGTATAACTTGTGAAACCTGTCGGCAACAGAATCATTTTGATCCACACAAAAATAATAGTATTACAAGATAAAGCATTACGATCATTGTTTCGATACAGTCCATGAAAGAAACAAAGGACGCTGTCTCGATAACTGGGCAACGAGACAAGCAAGTATACAGTCTCACTACCATTATAGCACGGAAACAGAGCTTATCATCGCAACCAATTGCAATAAGAACCCCTCAAAACAGACACGAGTCAGATAGAAATTTCTTTCTTCCTTAAATCATTTCAGTGACTCGAAAATAATACATAGATGTCCTTAAATTCTGATTAATATTCTCGTTGTCTTAACATTCGCCCAACAATTTTTATCATAACTGCATAAAACCGCGGTCTTTCCTATTCCAATAAAACAAGTCCCCTGTCCCGCGATTTTTCCCAAAGAAAGCCGACCAGATCGCACGGTTTCCTTAAACATTCCGCCATCGCTGTTCCGAACGGATCGATCTCGACGCAACACCATTCCCAACCCCATGAACTATCATACTACGAAAGCAATCCGTGGTCGGCGAAGCAGAAGCGGAGGTGCGAAAGGTGAAAGAGGTTGTTAAGCTCACCGGCAAGCAGCTTCTTGAGCATCGCGAGGCCATTCTTGACGTTCTCCTCAGTCTCCCGGAGCTCCTTGACGGCGACGGCCAGTGCTTCCGGTCCCGGCGGGCCCAGCTCAATTTCGAACGACATGTTTTATCCGCGCACGAGCGTTAGCTTCCGGTGCCGACACGTACGGTTCAGCTTTCCTCGCGGCGAGCAAGTACGAAACGATCCTCGCGGCAGGACGACCACGATATATCTGTGACCCTCTATATCTCGCGGCCGGAGAAGGAGAGGAGGCCTCCTCTTGTCCACCATCTCGATCCAATCTTTGACCGCTCAAAGTCCAATCCGGCAACCAGCGACCGGCACAGGGTCCGCTCCGCCGCGGTACCATTTCGTGATCGCGGCCAAACATTATAAGAGACGCATCGCGCGCGGTACGTCACCTGATAATGAAGACGGAACAGAGAGAACGCGGGCCTGCCGCGGCAGGCCGACCCGACGGATTGATAAGGATCGATCGCCGTCGACGTGCCGCGCCGACGAATCATCCGCAAGATTGGAGGATCGCACGAGACGAACCAACATCTCGGCTCAGAAACGTTTCTTTCCGTGATCGGAAAACACTGATCGCGCGCCTCGCCGAGCCGATGCCGCAGTATGCACTGGAGGAGTTTGTTCTGTGCGATGGTTCTTGTTTGGACAGCTCGTCTTCGCTGGCGGAAGCGTTTCTCTAGGCGAAGAACAAGGAACGAGAGAGGAAGAGTGGAAATAAGGAGTTTGGTACGGACAGGTTCTGGGAGATGCTTTGTTCGAAGGTCTGCTTTGGAATTGAGTTGGACGAGATGTTTATCCGAATAAAAATTTCGAATAGCGAACAGAAGATGGACGAAATTGTATCCGTTACTCGAAGATTCGAATAAAAGAAGCACGTGTCTTCTTTTTATCGACGAGCATCGAATAAAGATGCTTTTGTTACTCGAACGTTCGAATAACGAATAAAGATGAAATGTCTTTCGTTCGAATCGTTCTTCGAATAATTTTTTATCTAAATAATGCCGACTCTGTTTTGGAGCGGCTTTATTAAGGTCGTTGCCAAGCATGGCAACAGGAGGGTTGATGAGAGTGTTCTGTTAAATGCGCAGCTTCGGAACACTCGGATTCCCTCGACCGACGAAATAGACGGTCATTCGGCATGCGCATAAATTTGTAAAACGAGCAGCAAGAAGAAAACGGAAGAGTCGTCGAAGAACCGCTTTAAAACCAAGCAAATGATATTGTTTTTGGTCGAACGGCATTTTAACCTCGAGAACACCGGCGTTCTTGCTCATTGGTATGCAATCGCATAATTTTCACGCGTTGCGTGTCAATAACTTTTTACCCCGCAAGCAGCCTCGCCCGACAAAAAGGAATTAGTAAAAAGGCGTTTACCTAATAAAAAAACGAATATTTCGTAATTGCCTCGCGCGATGTTTCGATCGAAATCGAAATATCACGATGAACCAGAAATGTTATTTTATGTTCTTGTTTCGCTGTGCTGTTTCTCGCCGTGCTGTTTCCGTTCCGTGCGTTTCTATCGGGGGTTACGTAAAGTAATGAGCGTTAGAGATCGCCGCGAAATGTTGTTGTTCGCGGCCGCGGCTTCCTCCTATCTTTAGTCGCGTAGTGTGCGCCGCGTGCACGCTGTCCGCCGTGGACAGTAACAATTACGTTGACGAATTAATAAGCATCGGACGAAAATAATCGGGTGAAACCGACGGGCAGCTTTCGTGATCGCAGCGGACGTTCCGTTCGCGAGAAAAGCTGCCCGGTGTTTCGAACGTAACGTTATCTACGCAATTATCGTAAAGCGCTCCCACCTCGCGATCGATTTGCGTTCGTATGACAATTAAATTTAATTGCAATCCCCCCTCGATATCGAACGGTATTCCGGTCGTATTATTGTTCAGTGGTCGAGATGTTAAAAAAAAATGTAGATAAAAACTGCTTGTGTTCCTCGCGATCAATTAATCTTCGCCGCGTAAGTGTACAGATCGAAATCGAAGTTCACAGAGAATCTCAGTTCACGGTGGAAGAACGAACGATACAGCGAGAGAGGGAGAGAGAGAGAGAGAGAGAGAAAGAGAGAAATGATCAAATGAATGAAACGGATCATCGTCGGAGAATAATCGGACGAACAAGTTTTGATCGAGCGCGGATGAAAAAGCGGGAGAAATTCAAGCAACGAACGAGTCCCGATCCTTTCAGCGTGCCCATTGAAATGCCGCGTTATCTATTGAAATTTGTTGTGCTTTTTAACAGTTCGCTCGAAAATCTTATCGCCGAGTTTGTTGACAAAACCGAAAACGGAGTTCGACCGGTATCCCGGACGAAGATAACGTTGTGGATCGCCGACGTTGGTCGCGCCAACGCGTTGCCTGGCTTATTTAAATTTGCTCGTTTCCACTTGAATCGATCCTTTCTTCTGTGCGCAACGCGCTTTATAATTGCTCTGACTCAGAGATGTCGTTCTTTTCGAGCGTCTCGATAAACAACCCGCGGTCTACGATACGCGTGTTGAAACCAGCGTTGCAACAACGACGGCACCCAGCACATATTTACACGGCACGATGCATTCCTTTCCGACATCGGTGAAAATAAAGAAGTCTGTCGGCGATACTCTCGACTCGGCCAACAAGGAACAATGGGCAATTAGTACTTAACGATATCGTCTGTTTCATGTCGGCCGTGTTGCTTTGTAATTTAATCTCCAAACGTGGAATCGAGCTTCGTATCACTCTGTTGCAAATGCTGCGACAACGCACTCGTTCCCCGTTTCCAAGTGCATCGCATAATTCAAACATTGCTCGCAATTTGAATTCACTTAAATACGATATTGTAAACAATGTATGTTGCGCTGATTTTTGTTCAAGTGCAAGACAAAGATCTGCAAAGTTATTACCGAAGGGGGTGCGTGTTGGGTTGGAAACGTTGTGTTATCGTTCGATCAAATTAAATTAAACTGTATCTGAACGCAATAAGTTGTCGTTTCTTTATTTATGCCGAAGCAATCTTATCCGGCGTTAATTATCCCGAATATTTGATTAATCTTTAATCTCGGCAACGTTTCGTAATTATTTGCAAGTGAAACGGTAATCAGTATTCCTTTCGCGAGCGCATAACAATGATTAAGCTATCAGCTGTCGTTTGTTTTGCTGAAAATATGAAGGAACGTTCATCTTATTTGCCGGGCGAGGCTGCTTCATATTCAGCCGGGCAACGGAATTATGATTCCAGTTCGCAGAATACATAAATCATGAAAATCGTTAGTTGCGCTCGCATGCAGGCGTCCTCTGAACGGTCTGTAACAGTTTAAGACTTGGATGTTGACTTGAATAATAATTTTGTCCATTTTTCTGGGACGACTTCGCGTGTCAGCGACTAACGACGTACAGAGATAATTCCAGGAAATTGAAAACAGAATTAAGTGCGTCAGTAAGGCAAGCAAAAGAGTTACTGCCGAAAGCAGGAAATGTTTTTCCGTCGTTCGACTTTGACTCGTGCTGGATCGTCTAGATCCATTAAATCATCGTATAAAAATTAGAACTTATTTACTTCGATAAATCGTCTGCAATATTACCAATTTCATTTATATTTCAATTTATTATTTTTACATTTCATTATATCGTTTATTATTTATAAGTTCGATTTTGGAAGAAAGGTGTCTGAGACACAGGAGAAAGTAAAATAAAGTTCGATATTCATAGATCACGTCAATTGCAACAAGAAAACAAAATTATTTAATGAAAAAGACGGCGAATTTAAGCGGCGCAAGTGAAAATGATTCGTTTGCTTTGAGTTTGAAATAATGTTGGCGAAAGTGGCGCCGCTATGACGATTGGTAGAAGCTCCGTTCAGGGGTTCATACAGCGTCAAAGCGCGTAGTGAGAGAACGGCCAAACTGTTCGCCAAAATTACCGACATATTATAAATATTATACTAATATTATACTAATATTATACTAATATTATACTAATATTATAAATATTATACATATTATAGTATTAAACTAGATTGGTAGCGCCACCANTTAAGCTATCAGCTGTCGTTTGTTTTGCTGAAAATATGAAGGAACGTTCATCTTATTTGCCGGGCGAGGCTGCTTCATATTCAGCCGGGCAACGGAATTATGATTCCAGTTCGCAGAATACATAAATCATGAAAATCGTTAGTTGCGCTCGCATGCAGGCGTCCTCTGAACGGTCTGTAACAGTTTAAGACTTGGATGTTGACTTGAATAATAATTTTGTCCATTTTTCTGGGACGACTTCGCGTGTCAGCGACTAACGACGTACAGAGATAATTCCAGGAAATTGAAAACAGAATTAAGTGCGTCAGTAAGGCAAGCAAAAGAGTTACTGCCGAAAGCAGGAAATGTTTTTCCGTCGTTCGACTTTGACTCGTGCTGGATCGTCTAGATCCATTAAATCATCGTATAAAAATTAGAACTTATTTACTTCGATAAATCGTCTGCAATATTACCAATTTCATTTATATTTCAATTTATTATTTTTACATTTCATTATATCGTTTATTATTTATAAGTTCGATTTTGGAAGAAAGGTGTCTGAGACACAGGAGAAAGTAAAATAAAGTTCGATATTCATAGATCACGTCAATTGCAACAAGAAAACAAAATTATTTAATGAAAAAGACGGCGAATTTAAGCGGCGCAAGTGAAAATGATTCGTTTGCTTTGAGTTTGAAATAATGTTGGCGAAAGTGGCGCCGCTATGACGATTGGTAGAAGCTCCGTTCAGGGGTTCATACAGCGTCAAAGCGCGTAGTGAGAGAACGGCCAAACTGTTCGCCAAAATTACCGACATATTATAAATATTATACTAATATTATACTAATATTATACTAATATTATACTAATATTATACTAATATTATACTAATATTATAAATATTATACATATTATAGTATTAAACTAGATTGGTAGCGCCACCAGTTGTATTGACAAAATTATTTATTGTCGGTAAGATTGTTTCGTTGGCGCCCCATTATCATTTGCAGATACACTACGAGAGGTATCGTCTGCGATGAAATTAATCAATATATTTATAGTCGATAAAATAAAAACCTAATGAAGCTAACAGCGATAAAACAGAATTTACACACGCATACACACACCCACTTGCATCCGAACTTGCATGCGAAATAAGCATTGTGGCGCTATAGGAAAAATTGATTCTCTTACCACCAGATGGCGCCACTATTCTATAAAATCGTTCGTTACTTGGACTCGGCCGTGAGGTGCCATTAATGGAGGTGTATCGTGTCTTTCTTCGGACTTCGGAGTCATTGTTGGTATTTACAATTACGGAACGCGAAATGGTTTTTCTGTAAACGTATTTCGGTGAATAGTACGGTATGTAAATCGGTGAGAGTGAACCAATTCGCGGGGAAGATAATGATTAATTAGAGTGAAGTGGAAGAGAAGAATCGGCCTCTGGAAGATCAACGGATCGTCGCGTCGTTTCGAATGGATACACAACCTCTCTACTGATACAATTTTCATCTCTCGCGGTTTGCTGTGTCGTAAGATAGATATTTAAGAGTACATTCTGTAGCTTGTTCTCGCGATCATTGCGTATTTTCTTGTACACTCGAGTATATTTGATTAATAATGAGCGATGGTAAGAAGGTAGGTGAAAATTCCAGTAGTGAGGTTGTTAACCAATTTCGAAGCTGTAGGGATCTCAGCGATATCGTGCCCCTGTATACGCCACGCGCCCTTTATTTGAAACCAGTTGCAAAAATAAACGTGTCCGTAAATCTTCCCCAACTGAAAGTTCCAGGTAAAACGTCCGTAATTCTACTAACACTTTTTTAATCATTTTTCTCTCGGTCCAATGGCGAACGAGAGTTGTGTCGCTTAATAATATGAATTTTTCTGACAGGAGATTCATCCAGTTTCTTTATATTCCGTGCCAATTTATACTTACATATATTATGTTTAGCGCAATAGGTTTTTACAGAAAATTAACTGCGATATAAACAGGAAAAACTATATCAACATGGGAAGTAATGGAGAAGATACGTGCCCTTATACTGCCGGACGAGTTTGCATCTCTGAAAGTAGCCAAAAGCACCCTGGAATTTATCAGATTGGAGGGAGATCTGCAAGACAGATGCAGGCTGCAACGTGTTCTGGCCAGGCTGGACTCGCAGCGTCTGAATCTCTCTGGATTTCCCAATGTTTTAAAAGTCCGTGCAGCAGAGGCAAAGGATGATTTTCCCACGAGACATAGCTGGGATTCATACTTTAGAGATACGAAGCATATGAATGAATTAAAGGCTGGGGAAAGGCCTGATACGGTTCATATAACAGGCTTGCCAGTCAAATGGTTCATAGAAGATGGATCTGCCTTGCCCAGTGAATCATTGGTCAACAAAATTTTTAAAAAGTGGGGAACACTTAGGAGAATCGATGTACCTGCAGCTGATTCGTATAGGTCTAGAATGCGTTTAGGCACAAATATAAACAAGTTTAGTTATGAAGATGGAATATTTTTCGATGCTTATATTCAGTACATTGAATACATGGATTTTGTTAGAGCAATGGATGCACTGCGTGGTATGAAACTCCTTAAAAAAGAAGGTGATAATGCATACACTGCTGCCATTAAGGTGTGTTCAGGATATCGGTTCTCTATGCACAAGTTGCGTTATTTTAGCATGATAAGGAATATTGCTTATGTTTTAACTGTTTAATGTAGATCACTTTTGATAAAACAAAGCATATGAGTGATAACTCTGTTGCACACAGAGAATTTGAAAGAAAACGTTTAATAGCGCAAGATACGTTAGCGGCGGAAAGGCTTCGCAAAAAAGAAGAAGCTGAAGAGAAACGTCGCGAAGAGCTCAAGTAAACAGAAACAAACTTTATATACATGATCAAATACACCCAATCATCTATAGGCTACAAAATTCTTATCTGTAGTCTATAATATTAGTATACCTGGATTACCACATTAATTTATCTGTAGGAAAAAGGAAGAAGCTGACGCAGTAGCTAAAAAAAGCAGACGACAGAAAAGGGAAGACAAACGGAAACGCAAAGCTATAACTATATTTCGTAAAAAGGAAGAGGACAAAGTGTCTATGAAAATAGCCAGGGAGGGTCAGAAGTTGATAAAAGCACAAAGGCAACTCGAAAGTATACGTCTGTTAGATGAGTTGTTTGATAGAATAAAGGTATCCATTTCAGGAAGTTTTTGTTAACTTTCTATTAGTACAAGAATACGTGATCTATATAGTTACACTAAAACCTTTTACATTTCAAGATAAAAGTGGAGAATAATGAAATTAAAATAGATGAAGTGACCACAGAGGGAAAGAAAGATGACAAGAAAAATAATAAACAAGATGGTACCGTCCAAGTATTAAGTTCTGAAGAAAATGATAAAGATGGGAAGAAGGACAAGAAAAATAAAAAATCAAAAAAGCGGAAATCAAAGAAAGAGAAGAAAAAAAAGGTATGTGATAGATTTTAGTTTTATGATGGTTGTAGCACAGTGATTTCAAGAATGAAATGTTTCCAGAAGAAAACCAAAAAAGACAAAGACTCTGCGAATTCCGTGAGTATGAGCGAAGAGTCGGAACCAGAAGAACAGATGAAAAGATTAAAGAGTGTTCTCAAGCAAAACGTCTCGTACCCATCGTCATCAGCAGGTAAATATAATACACATTGCCTACTGGAAGTATAAAAATATTCTTTTCAAATGGTGAGTCGTACTATTGACGCGTACTTTAATGAATTTATGGATTTTCAGCATCTGCCCCCTTGGAGCCTCTTCCATATCCGCCCCTGTACCCTCGATTCCCACAACCATGGTACTATGAAGCAGCATTGCCTCTGATCTATCCCACATTGTCAAGAAGCATGCCCAGAGGAGGTCGATTCTCTCGTGGGAGAGGTAGCCGAGGATTTCTGTGGCGAAATCCCAGCAACCACCGCTCGTTACAGACGTTCAACCCTCACCTATACAACGAGCAATACTACAAGTACTTCGCCCACCTGGTCGGCCAGGATTACCATTCGTTTGACAGAAGCTCGCGGTCCCGCAGCCGCAACCGATCGATCAGCAAGTCGAGATCTAAATCCAGATCGAGGTCAAGATCGCGGATGAAGCGGGCCTCCAGGTCGAGATCCAGATCCCGCGGTAGATCGAGATCACGGTCAAGGTCGCGGTCAAGATCGAAATCGAGGACGGACTCTAGGTCACGAAGCCGGAAACAGAGTAGAAGCAGAAGTAGGTCGCGATCGAGACGCCGGCGAGGGAGATCGAAGTCAAGGTCGAAGTCCCCTAAACCAAGATCGAAGTCTCCTAGACCAAGATCAAGATCCCGCCGATCAAGATCCAAGAAAAAGTCTCGATCCCGGAGCCGCTCGAAGTCCAGGACCAACGGCAAGAACCAGTACAGACGGAGACGGGAGAGGTCTACGTCGAAGGTTAAGGTCACCAGGGCTAAATCTCGCTCGACGTCGAATAAACGTAGATCTCGCAGCAGCACCTGGTCCATGCCGAAGTCTCCTGGCAGAAGGAGCTGCTCCTGGTCTAAAAACGCCGACGCTGTTAACGAGAAAGCTAATTCGGACAAATCGGTACAGGAGCAACGTTCCACAAGCAAAGAAGCGCCACAAAGTTCCCAGCTGGAGAACATAACTTCCGACTGACAGTGATTAAGTACACTTCCGGCTCGCGTCTTCGACTTTATGAGAGGTTCGTTCGATCACGTGTAACATTGTGTACAAACCAGACGTGCGAACTTGTATAACTTTTCTATATACACAACTGCGACGTTCTTTCGAAGAAATAAGATATATTTTTGTTCACTTGGTCGCTCTTCCTAAGCTTAAACGATATGATTATCGGACAAGAGTTCTATGGATGTTTTTCATTTTCAACGTATATCGTGTATACAATAAGAAGCAGTTGTATATACTTTAGGAATAGTATAAGTCTATTATAGAGGACAAAAATCTATGATCAAGCGGGTATTGCATTTTTAAGTCGACGTCAAAATAAACACGATATTGATCAACTAAACAGCAGCTACTTTGTCTGGCGGTTCACTTACCTTTGTAGTATCATGTTTGGTAGATGCTGCGATAGTTTTACACTATTTAGCTACGCTTGGGAACATATGTTGTTTGATTGTTCTCGTTTGAACGAGTTTGACAAGGATTGTATAACTTTACACAGGGTTGCTGTAATCAGCTAAAATCGGTTTCGCTGTGTTCAAGGAAGTTCGTTCTAGTTTGAATAATTTTTTAAGAAGTTCCGCTCCATTCAATTTTGAATTAAATCACAGTAAAAGTTACTGTCGTTCACAATCGAGATCGTTTCATTTACGTTTGAATAAGTTTAAGCGGATTTGAACGATTTGAATGGGTTTGATCGCAGCTCGTCCACGCAGCAGTGATTCAAGGGTAAGAGGTAGGAAAAACACATTCGTAGTCGACTTGCAAATTTTATTTGTTCTCGGCATGAAAATGCATTGGTTCATAAACATTGTAATTCTTATATACCCCTATCCCTTCGTAGATCGAAGATCGATTCTTAGCAGCGTTTCTCGGAGATAACACGCTACGATTAGTTTTATCGACTGGTGCTCGCTTGATATTATTAGTTCGCCTATGATTAACAGGATTGAAATTCATTCTTCCTTTCTTTCTTTTATGTTTTTTTTTTCTTCTTTGAAACTGATTAGTGCCGTGATATCAGCACCGCGCGCGCGCGTATTTTCGCCCGACGTATTTTATCTGTGTTTATACCTCTTCTCAACACGGTTGGTTTTTCACTTTAAAAATATGTGCTACATTTTTTTTTTTTGGTTTCTTTTCTCATTCGCTATATTTAATTATATAATAATACGTATATATACATTTCGCATCGTTTAACCGCACCACGCGTATGTTTCAGAATAACAACTCGTTTTGTTTACAGTGTATGCTCCACAATGATATTCAATCTAAATGGAAGATTTTTATCATTCTCGAACATCGTTCGTTTCGCAAGAGGCTTTTGTTTTCCATTTTCCACATTTGTGTTCGACGTTCTTATTGCCATACTCGTCTCTCACGTGTACAACTGGTTTGCCTTTTCCTTCTCCTTATCTTCATCATCATCATCATCATCATCATCATCATCATCATCATCTTCTTCTTCTTCTTTTTCTTCATTATTTTATTTTTCTCCTTAAATCGTCTACCGCTACGGTATCTTTGGAATTGATTAGATATTGACTACTTTCAAGATTCGTTGCGTGGGAATTGTTTCTCCTCTTTTTCATCGGATCGTCGCCGGACGACCTGCGTTCTTCCGTATCGCACGGCGCGGATCGTTTCCCATTCGATTCGCAATCACATCGCGAACTTTCCTGGGTGTGCATTGGCACGGGTATTTGGGGATCGCGTTATAAATCTTCCCCTCGTTTTTTAGTCTTGCTTGACGGGCGTCGTGATTACGGAAGGACCGCCGTCGTCCGCGATAATTGCGTCGGTGATCGATAGATCAACGTCACTTCTTTCTCTCCTTTCAATTTTTTGCCGCTTTAATCTCGAACAGAACGCGAATTCAACGCAGCTCTATATTTACACGAACTCACGGAAATCGATCGCGGTATCAAATTTTTGTCGGAAAGAACGCAGTAGATTTTCTAACGCGAAATACGGTAAATTCCCTCTAATCGACGCTCAATTTGCAAACAAAAATGGACAGTCTGGGAAGAGGAGGTTATTCGATTATTCCGATTATTTATTATCAATAATCGATACGATTATTCGAACCTTGCGGCTCGTTTTTATAGTTGTTGATAATCGATAAACTACAAAAGCGAGCCGCAAGGCTCGAATAATCGTATCTCCACTTCTCAAATTGTCCATTTTTGTGTACAATCTGAGGGTCAATCGAGGAGAATATACTGTAATCGTTTACCAAATTATGTAGAATCGCGAAATGAAGGAGAACGAAACGTCTGCGTCCGTTTTCTCGAAAGTAAACCGAAAGCCTATTTCGTTCGGTTCATCCGCGAACGAGAACAAAATGGCGGAGAGTTCCGGCGGTCGCATGTTCACCGACGCAATTTTACACGAAATGATTCTGCATCATCGCATGCTGCACGCCCGCGGGGCACGTAAAGCACCCTCCCGTTCGATCGATCTCGTTTCATTCATCTCCGTGTACATTCTAAGAGTGAATCGTTCATTTTCCAGCAGCGAACCTGCTGCGACTCAGCCGTCGCTTTAAAACGGCCCGACGGGATACAATCAACGAGAAATCAATCATAATTAAACATTCTCTCTTCTCAAATGAACGCACTCGAACGAAAGCGTTTGTTCGCGTGAACGAATAACAAACAAGTTGCTCACAAAATCCGCGTTTCCTTATCTAGCTATCGTTCACATGCAACGCTACAAACAGGTTTGCGCTCCGCGATACGATTCGCGGATTATTCGCACGGTTAAATGTTCGTAGAAACGTGTCTGTCTCTGTGTGTGTGTGTTTGTTTGCGTGTGTGTGTGTGTATGTGTGTCGGGTCACCTTCGAACGTATTCCGCAAAAAGAACTTGGTTTCCGCGCTTCTTATCGCTGGCTATCTTAGTCTACGACGACGACGATCGAACAAGAAACGGGAAGAATCGCAATCGTTTAAACTTCGACGAACACACCGAGTGTTTTTTTGGGAAATGAACGACCCAACGTTTACGATTTCTATTGAGCAAGCATCACATGCTTCGTGTGTCAGCCATCGCCCGATAGTGTAAAAGAACTAACGCGTCACCCTGTGGGTTTAATCATCGTAATCTAGACCTCTTCAGGTGGGTTAATGCACTGGAAGGGCACGCAAAAAGTCCAGCCTGTCTCGAGTCGATCACCATCAATCTTGATCAGTCAGCGGCGCGAGCACGAGACGATTAATAGCTAATTAAGACAGCGGTGAAGCCGATTGAAGTGTTCCGTATAGAAGGGCGACGAAGCATAAATAATGCCGGAACGGTCTGTGAAAGGGTGGGCCCGATTATTTCGTTATCAACATCAATTCGCAATCGGTGCCGCTTCAGCCCCGAGCGCCAAGCTGTTCCGAATTTAGCCGCTCCGGGGGGAGGATATTTTTCATCCGATCAATGCATTTCAAAGTGGCTCGGGATCGCTCTCGGAAAGTTTTCTTGAAATTTAAAAAGATCACATCGATCGGCCATCAGGACCGGCTTGCATTATTGAACGTTTCTTCAAGTCTATTTTCCTCGGGAACCACCGGGAGGTCCTTCAGCGCCTCTTTCAACCGAATATCCATTTTATTTCGACATTCTGATTATACGCGGTCTATGCATTTATGCGAATTTCGCCGGCGTCAACAAGATCGGATTCCGCCGGAATTCGATATTCTTTATGAAAGAGTTAAGAAGACTGAGTACATTTCGAGAGGGGCCTTCGTAGCTCGTCTTATAATTCCAATTTGCAAATACACGAAGAATCGCCGGTTCCGCGGGCAGCCGCCAAAATGAATGCACCTCGGCCGAAATCCGATGTTTTCATTACGTTAGAAATTGCATTCAAGCAACGCAGCCGGCGACCCGCGCGCGTTGATCTGGCTGTTTCAAATTTGCAACTGTCACCGACGACGATGATTTTCGGGCATCGCGACAAATCCTTTCGGAGCTTTGTTTTCCCGGCGCGTTAAAACTCCACGAACTAGCATCATCGAGCGAACCCGTCGCCGTTGAAAAGTCGACCGTGGCGAAATTAAAGCGGGAAGTGGATCGATCGTTGCGACGAAAACCGGAGAAACAGGAGTTACCTGGACGGCGACTTAATTGATAACGGAGCGAGAACTTGGAGAAAATTCAATGCGGGCTTTGCCGCTCGAACGGCAAACCGAGTCGGCTGTCTCGAATTTTTCTGATCGCGGGAAACTGATTCGTACAGATTGTAGGTCCAAGCTTTTTGGAAGTTGGAATTTTTCGCAAGCGGAGTTTACGATTGAGAAACCGTGTTAGCGGACTTTTTTCAAGCGAGACGTTTCGCTGCACTTTTCGCGTCCCAGTTCAGTGTCAAATAATTGGAGAAAGAGAGATAGGGAGAGAGAGAGAGAGATAGATAGAAAGGTAGAGAGAGAGAGAGAGAAAGATAGAGATAGAGGGGGAAGAGACATAGAGCTCGTTTAAAAAAGACTACTTCCCCGTAAAACTCGTGGTCGCTAGAATCACCCTATGGATTAATAGGGAGTTACATTACTTTAGTAATTTGTTGGTCAGTTTACGTAACAGTTAGACGGCGACAGCCCGCTAGGTAATATTTGGTAAAGACCTTAATAAAGGGTGTCTGAGAGCTTTTTAAAACCGTTCGAACGCTACCGTTTATTTAGTAATAATAATAATTCTCCGTAATAATCATAATAACTGGTAATAATAACAACAATAGTAAATGATTATACGTGGTAGATAACGTGGTAATACTCGTATAAATCGCCGCGAAGGCGTGCGTTATTTAACTTTGTTCTTTTTTATTTTCTTATAGTTTTATTCATCCGACGGGTTCCACTCTTCGTCGCGTTTCCCTTCTTTTTTTCTCTTCCTTGTTCTTCCGTCCCCCCGGCTGTTTTGCTCCGTTTGCTCCCTCTCTCTTCGTTCCGTTCGAATTTACCGTCGATTAACCGGCCGTTTATGAACGATCGGATCGTTTCCGATTTTCGAGTGGCACTCCGCGCGCCGTTTACCCTCTTTCTTGTCACCTCCGCCCTCTGCGACCCCTCGTCTCGACCTCCTCGCATTTTTCTGTACTGTTTTCGTCGCCATTCTTCCTCGGTGCGCCCTCGAGAGGTGTACACGGTGCACGTTCGCTTTTGTCTTGCCGATACCTTCGCAACTCCGTTTGCTATAGTCGGGGAAAAACAACCGATCGCTTCGATTCCGAGTCATTGACTAAATTCTCTGTACTCCGCCAATATTGTTCACGTTTGGCTGCGGCCGACACTTTCGTTTCTCAGGATTTGAATCGTTCTTTCGGCTCTTTTTGGTACGCTCTTCTCGTTCGACAGTAGATCTGTCGA